TTAGTGGCTCTCAGAACGTCCAAACGATATTCGATTTCAGTTCACGTTCGCTGCAACACGCCCACAGTTACAGTGGAGGTGGCATCCGTTATTCTAGTCTTTAGCTCAGTGATGTTTGTTCGCTACAGGTGTGCGATATACGATACCCTTAACATACCCCCATACATCTTTCCTGTACTGACGTCTGTAATTATGCTGCACCACAGTCATTGACTTGGTCTTTGCAAGCCAAACGACACATTGAGCTTTTCTTGCACGGTTACATTTTGCTAGGTAACATTACTCACCGATTTATTTGTTTTGGAATTTTGCGCAAAGCTACACGAGGGCTATCTGCGCTAGCTGTCCCTAATTTAGCAGTGTAAGACTAGATGGAAGGCAACTAGTTATCACCACCCATCGCCAACTCTTGGGCTACTCTTTTACCAACGAATAGTGGGATTGACCGTCACGTTATAACGCCCCCACGGCTGAAAGAGCGAGCATGTTTAGTGTGACGGGGATTCGAACCCGCGACCCGCAGACTGCGAGTCGAGCGTCCTAACCACCTGGCCTAACTCACTGAAGTAAACAAAAATATGACAATAAAATCTGTTTGAGTTTGGCTACAAGATGTTAAAGTTGTTTGTATTTCCTTAGTTATTTAATGATTAGATTTTAAAACAGGAAAGATAATTTTCAATCATATTGTATTTAATTTCAAATCAATATTCTGTTTTGATAGTCTTGTCTATCGACGATACCTTCTCGTTACTCATCTTGTAAACCTTCTCTTTGTAAGCAGTTTTATACATTTTCACAGCGTTCAGTAGCACATAATGCTTCTACAGTACCTGCGAGAGTATTTAGTGTTTGTGTCAATATTATTTAATCAACTTATACTATAATGTAGATATTCCAAGTGGTTTTCCGATGGTAAAATTGATTTGGTGTGGTTGTTTTGAATTTCGCGCAAAGCTACACGAGGGCTATCTGCGCTAGCTGTCCCTAATTTAGCAGTGAAAGACTAGAAGGAAGGTAGCTAGTCATCACCACCCACTCTTGGGCTACTATACACCTGGAAAAAAGTTAAGCACCCCCGTGTTTTATTCAAGTGATTCAGATTCGACGTTCTTGTGACTGATTATAAATTACCATTCAATCTAAACG